AGTCAAGGGCCCGGATCCATCCAGAGACAAAGTGAAGAGGCAGGCTAGGGAGGAAAGGGAAACCAACAGGTAGACCAAGAGTACAAGCCCATGAAGTGCCGTCTTCCTCAGACAGCCAAGCAAGAGAGCTACATGCTGTCCATGCTGAACCCAAGTGAGAGAGGCACTGCACACTTCCCGGAAAGCCCTCCAGCTGGGAAGCCAGAGAGGGGTCAATCCCTAAGCTCCAGCTAGAGAGGCCAGGGACACCTGGAATGATGTCCCCACAATTGGGCCTCACCTGCTAAGGACATAAAATCCTGCCCTCAGCTACTTGCCTAGGGATACTGATCTTCGGCTGCTGGTTTCTTATGGGCCTTGCTTCTTTCCCTTTAAGGCAGGAGTGGGGAACACCTGGCCCTCAGGCTTGTGTAAGGCCTAGGAAGTCATTAATAGCAGCTAACATCACCTGCCTCACCAAAGAGAAACCAGTCCAGCCATCCCAGCAGCGGGGAGTGAAGTGTTTAACCAAACAGAGCAGGCTCAGTTCAAGGTTGGTAATTTTGTATGGCCCAAGGATGATAAGTGTCCTAAAGGCTTTTAGCAGAAAAAAAGGCTGCCCCCCTCTGCTTTAGGTCAAAGGCTCATAGAGCCCTGTGGGGGAGCCAGCTTTGAGGGCTTCCAGCTGCTGCAGGCTCCCTGCACCCACATCAGAGGCTGCTCTCTCAGAAGCACAGCTGCCCAATGGCCCTTCATTTGCGCCACCCCATCAGGCTGGCACTGCAGACCTTGTTTTGCCCTGGTCTCAGTTTGTGATCGTTCAATCTAAAAAGTCTGCTCAGCCCACCTCCCCCAGTGGCTGCAGAGGCAACTGGGGAAAGGGAATTCTAGGTTGGGGACAGCACTACCTCGTGCCACCGCTGTTAGCAGAGTGTCACTAGACTTGACCCCACATGTTTCGAGATGAATTTCTGGACGATGGGTGTGGGGGGATATGGTGTAAAGTTCTCTACTTCAAGCTATTCCTGATTCTGGAGGAACTCCGTGGCCAAACCAGAAGAGCAGGGAGTGGGGAGAGACCAGCTTTCTGAGAGGAAAACTAAGAAGCCAACTCCAGTTTTAGCATTGACCAAAATGTTCACAGCGTGAATACGCTCACAAGCAGATTGTAAGCACCATAATGTAAGCACTGGCTTTCGGAAGACCTGACTAGTAACTGGCCGAGAGGAGCCAGCCGGGCCCGGTGTGCCATTGATGGAGGACTCAGGAGCGCTGTGCTCCCTAAGACATCTGGCTTCCTCTGGTGTGTTCAAGTGTCAAAACCTTACCGTGATCTCAGACCTTCATTTCTGAGGGAAATAGGAGAGTCCCTGGGAGCCTATCCTGACTCCACCCCCCGAGAGCATGTTAGTCCGTGACAAATGAAGTCAGGAGGGGCAGTGCTTGCCCGGCATCCAGACACTGCCGCACCACAAGTTAAGGCAGCGTCCGAGCACTCCCAGGTTGCACGCTCAGGTAGGAGTCTGCACAACGTGGTGCCCGAGAGAGATTCTGGCGTCCCTTAGCCAGGAAGGGACTGGAGCGTGGCAGGGCCTGGGTAGTTTGGCTTACGCTAGGCAAGAGAGAGAAAACTTCATGGAAGTCTCTAGGGCTTCACTGATCTTCTGACAAGCAACGATCACAGGCTCCTTACCTCCGGAATCTTGATCCCAGATCTTCACTTTGCAGTCATGGGATGAGGTAGCGACTACGGGCATCAAAGCCACAGATCTTGGTAGAAAGGCACAGGATGCAACCGTCTGGAGATGCCCCACGTATTCACAGACGCTGCTGCGGCTCTGCCGCAGGTCCCACAGCTGCAGAGAGGAGCGTAAAGCAGTCTGCAAGTGCAAACTCCTCTGGCTGCGTGCTCGGCTCGCTGTCATCACGATGCAGCTCTCCACCCTCCCATAATCCAGCGCTCCCTCCACTCACCTGCTCATCCAGCTGCCCCGTATCATCTTTTTCTTTAAACTTTTTATTGCAGATTGGGAGGAGGTTTACACAGCAGGTAAAGTTTCCATTTAACAAGTTACGCATACTGTGCTTCATGTTACTGATTGCAATCCTACAAGGAAACATCTCTTATCTCCCTGTTTCCAATCCTCCCTCTCTCCTAAACTCTCTGAACTTGGCCTTTGGGTAAATGCTGCCTTACTGACCTCAGTGACGGACTCTACTAGGTGTGCACCCCCACTGTTATTCTTCCTTGATAGACCTGTCTGTTGTTCGGCTGACAATGGAGTCCAGACCGGAAGTGACTGGACCACAGTCTGGGCGACTCCACCAGTTCAATCTGACCCACATGGTCACTGGTTCGGAACCACCAGGAGCTCTGAGGGAGAAACACTGGGCTTTCAGAAACCCACAAGGAGTTCGTTATGAGTCAGCATTGATTCGATGGCAGTGAGCCGAGTTTATCTGACCAGGAAGACCAGGTGGTCTCAAATAGAGGGGGAGAAAATCGTGGAATAAAATGAAAAATCCCAACAAAAAAAGTCATTCATATTTCAATGATGCTGTATTAAAAGCATTCCTCTTAAAATCAGGAGCCACACCAAAAAGCACACAGTTTCCACTGCTAATCAATATGATGTTAAAGGTCTTGACCAGGAAAGAGACCTTGGGAGTCCGGCAAGATAGCAGACCATGCAGACCTGCTTCACAGACCTCTAGGACAAAGACACGAGAAACCCAAGGAACAGGTACAGATGGTAGTTCTGGAACGCTGAGCTTCAAAAGAACACAAAGCAATGGATCGATTGCCAACTAGAAGAAGCTGAACAAAGTGGCCCGAGAGGAGACAGACAGGCCATCTGTTGTGGGGTACCAGCCACCACAACCGAATGGGTCAAGGGGCAGTTGTGTAATTGAGGGGTAAATTACAGAGACACCAGACAAGATAAAGCATGCAAGGCCTCACCTTCGCAATCATGACTTTAGGAGCCAGGTCCGATCAGAGAGAGAGAATGTATTTCCAACAAACGTGCAAATCCCCCCTAATTACAGGTAGCCATATACATAACAAAGTGGGCTATGTCCTAACCCTAAAGGTCCCTGAATACATAGGAGTAACCTAACACCAGTGCTGGGGGCCGATAAGGGGGAGTGGCTGTCCTCAGAGCCTAGAGAGCAATAGCACCTGTCTGCTCCTATAGTTAGAGCTGCCAGGTACACAGCAATCAGCCATGTGTTTGTAAACGGTTACTTTAAGGCAGCACTATTATGAGAGGATATAGTTAGGGAACAATATTAATTATGAGAATATGATTGGGACTGTCTCCAACTCACAAAGGTGAAGGCCTCCCTGCACCCCAGAAACCCAGCCTGCCAGGTTTCTGAATACGTGCGAATAAAAGATTCACCTGTATACACTGTCTTCCCGTTCTCTGCTTCCCTCAATCAGTCAGCTGGCCTAATGCAGTGCGGCCATCTTGACTTTCAGCAGCAGCATTACATTACGTCAAGACAGCAGCCTGGCACCCCAGTGACCAGTGATGAGAAAGATAGGTTCCCCCTTGTTCCCCAGCCCCTCCCAACGGCATGGCCAGTCCTCATCCTCACCCAGCCAGAGAGTTACACCCCTGCCTCCCTCACAGCCCCTGCTTTGCCTCAGGTTGGATCTGAGCCCTCCCTTGTGGACAAGGCACTCCGTATCCTCATCTGCCTGCTTCATAGCGCCAACTGCCCATCCATTCCCTGGCTAGATGCAGTACCAACCATGGCCCCAGCAGCCTAAAGACTGGCTGTCTTCTCGTGGCCAGGGAAGGAAAAGTTCAAGTCCGATAGCAATGATGAGAAGGTCTGGGCTTGTTTCGCCTTCCGTGATCACTCAGTGGCTGTCTTACATCCGCCTCTGGGCCTTGTGGGTCCTTTGAGAACTTTGTAGCACTTTCTCATAAGTACACTCAAGTGTAAACATCGGATTTCATGCCTGGAGGCTGGGCCTTGATACGTGAGGACTAGTGTCTACACAGGGAACCTGACAGGCCCGCCAGCCCCATTCTTGTGACTAGAAATCAGATCACACCTGAAGAGTAACGTTCAGGGAGAGGAGCAAGCTGCACTGTCCTAGAAATGCAGCAGTCGGAGGAAACCGCGCCATCGGAGGAGCAGCGGGAGGAACTGGGAATGCTCAGCTGGGATTCAGCTCCGTGATCTACCACCTACTAGGGTGGTGGGCTTGGGGAGGAAGTTTTAACTTGCCACACCTCTATTTCCTCGTCTATAAAATGGGAATTACAGGGGGACGGACAACAGAAAAGTAGGTGAAGGGAGACGTCGGACAGGGCAAGATATGACAAAATAACAATTTATAAACTATCAAGGGCTCATGAGGGAGGGGGAGCGGGGAGGGAGGGGGAAAATGAGGACCTAATGCCGGGGGCTTAAGTGGAGAGAAAATGTTTTGAGAATGATGTACAAATGCGCTTTACACAATTGATGTGTGTATGGATTGCGATAACAGTTGTATGAGCCCCTAATAAAATGTTTTAAAAAAAACAAAGGGAATTACAACAGTAACTAGCTCACAGCCGGTAGATTCCGATTCATAGTAACCCACTGCAGGGTTTTAGAGCTGTAAAATCTTTTTGGAGCAGATAAGCATATCTTCCTCCCAAGGACTGGCTCGTGGGTTTGACCCACAGACCCTGTGGTCAGCAGTCCACCTGGCTCCACCCCCAGGGCTCCAGACCCCTGCATCCCACACAGTCTCTTACCGTGGCTTCACAGCCTTCCCCTCCAAAGCCACTGCTGCAGGACATAAACCGGTGTCCATCCTCACTGGCCTCACAGTGGGTCTGAATGTGCTGCTTTGCAGGAAACATATGAGCTACCTGTAGCCCCCGGCTGTCCCATAATCTGAAAGGCAGTAGGAACGAACTTGCCGTGAATGTGGCGGAACTGGCAGCCCACGAAGGAGCAATCAAGCCTGGCTCTTTCCTGTGTAGGACCACCAGAATGGAATGTCTGGAGTCAGCGAATCACAGCAATGAGAACCAGGTCAGTATGAGACCCCCAAACTGAATGACATCCGAGATCGACTTTGAGAGCTCGCTGATAGGAAGGCAGACCAAGGATCTTAACTGTGCAAGTTAATCGGTTAATTTAGTCCTTTGAGATACTGCGTACAACCGATGAAGGGGGACATTCACCACTCCAGAATCAGACAAGAGGCCCACAGGCTTTGGAACACCTTGGTCAGGGATCCTAATTGTTCTGTTGGATCCCTCTGCCTCGTTCCCGCCACCACCACCCCCACCTTTGTCCATTCCCACCACTTTTTAAGTGGCACCTCTTTTGAGAGCCATGGGTCCTCATTGTGCTTGAGAGCCAAGCAACGGAGGACTGGCCGACCGATAACCAGGCGAGAAGCTGCTGAGCAGGGCGAGCAGGTAGCAGTCAGGCAGCTTGAAGGTGTTGGAAGAGACTGTTCCTGAGACTAAGCTGATTACCATCGCACCGTGGGGACTGAAAGAATTAGCTGCGTGGATACCACCAAGAACAGCAGCTTTCCCCTGACCCCGCAGCTTCCACCTTCTTCCCAGGTGATCCACGGGCCAGGAGAGGGGTAGATGAGGAGAAGGCGCGGTGAGAGACCCAGCAACATGGGGAAGCGGAGTGAGAGCCACACACCTCACCAGAAACACTCCCCCTCCTGCGCTGTAAACCCACCTGATGGTTTTATCTTCAGAGGTCTGGAGGGTATATGGCTCTCTGGGGACCCAGCACAGGTGAGTGACCTGGAAGAAACAAACGTTTTCAAAAAGTCTTCCTGTTAAGTCCCAGTCTTCTGCCGTAATTTCCTGTGAGCTCTGCCAAACTGCCTCTCAACATCCCAAGTACACTGAACTAGTAAACCTGACTTAGAAGAATTTCATGTTTTGTATTTCCACGCCAGTCGTGCGCTACCTGTGTCTTCTGGGTTATCAGCAGCAGCAATAGCAGCTGGGTCAGTTGTGAGTGGCAGCTACCCTCAGCGGGCCTGAAAGCCCAGCTCTGAGAATTTCCAGCCCAGAGGTAGCTCAGGAGAGCACTGCCCTGAGGTGAGACTACTGAAATGCTTCTCACAGGTTCTAGAAGAGCCTATCACTGAAGCCCCCTAATGACAAGGCATAGAACAGGTTCCAAAATAACCCACAGCGACAGGACCCTCTCTCCTTATAAAGCCCACAAACAGGGCGAGCACACAGGCAGGCACTGATGAAATGAGCACAGATGAACATGTGAAATCTGACAGATGCTCACGCAGCATTTGATCCGATAACCCTAGCACTCAGGCTCCCCAGAAAGTTAGGGGAGGGCAGGAATTGGGACCCACGCCTCCAAGTGCCAGTTGCGGGGATCCAGGTTCCTTCCCAGCCCCATGCATGCTCCCACCTGCTGCCCTGCTCTGTACTGAGTTTGAGTTCATACCAGGTTTCTGGACACCTCGGCTCTCTCCACACACCGTCCAGTTCCCACGTCCCACAGCAGCAGGGTGTTGTCCCGGGAGCCAGTGCACAGCTGGGTGGAGTCTTTGGAAACAAGGGCCGGAAGATGGCCTATGAGGTGGGGCTTGACTAGAGAATTTTAAGAGAGCACAAAGTTTGTCCGAAAGAGATTTGCTTCGCTTTACCTGGACTCACGGCCAACCCTGTGACCACCATGGCATGGCCTGAGAACTGCTGCCTGGCTTGTGAGGAAGCATGTAAGTCCCACATCAGGACCGTCCTGTCCCGAGAGGCGCTGAAGAACTGGCTCGACTTGTGGATACAGGCCACCTGCTCAGGGGGAAATCCCAAAGAAATCGCCTTGGCATTCTTACTTGTTGACTTCAAGACAAGGAAAGGCTGGTTGCATAACTCCCTTCCACACGCAGACTTTTGGAAATGAATTTTAAAAGCTACAGGTCAGTTTCCATTTC